GCTACGTGTACTGCGTTAGGCTAACCGAGACTTGTCATTTGCACTTATATATTGTTGCTCTTTTGTTAGTTTTGACTGCTTTTATTGTCCTCATTTGTAAGTCGCTTTGGATAAAAGCGTCTGCTAAATGACTAAATAAATAAATAAATAAACAATATTAATCCTGTATTAACAAAAAGAGAAGCAGTGTTTGGGGGGGAAGGGAGGTAGTATGAGTCTGTCATGAGCCTGATTTGTAAACAAATGCAGGTATGCTATCTCTCACACTAACCTCTTGATGGCAGTGCTGGACCGTGTCCTGGTCTATGAAGTTATCCCTGTGGACTGTAACAAAAACTCCTGCACTCCCGTACTGTGTGTCGTCTTACCAGGAAAGCAAGTGTAGAAATAACAAATAGTAAACAAGGATGAATTTAAATTTTAATCTCAATATTCACTCAAAGGTTTGTCATGTTTAAATATTTTCTCTGGAAAATAAATATGAAATAAAATAAAGAGATAAGATAAATAACACTATTATTAATTGTAATAACTAATAATTTTGACATATATTTGACAATTTATGAATCTATTCCACCATATGTTACAAGATAATTAGAAATCAAATAATTAGTCATAATAATAATAATATAATTATAATAATATAATAATATTAGTAATATTGCATATATTACCAATTATTTAATTTCTAATTACTTCTCTGGATTAATTTGTACACACACTTACGGTTTTCAGTAGTCTCTGTTTCTCTTTCTGACTGTTCACACCTCATGCTGTCAGGTCTCTCCTCTTTAATAATGAGGACATCTGGCTCGTCGTCCTCTACAGACTGATAAAAAGCACAATGCTGCCATGATTCCTGATAAATTATTAGTGGACAACTGAGCTCACTGATTTGGGAAATACAGTTTCTTACCTCTTGTTGGCAGTGCTGGACTGTGTTCTGGTCTATGAAGTTTTCTCTGTGGACTGTTACAAAGACTCTTGCACTCCTGTACTGGTTGTCATCTTTACCTGCAACATGGATGTACCAGTACACACACACACACACACACACACACACACGTGTAAATGCAAAAAAAAAAATGCTACATAATATCACAAATACATATGTAACAAAATGCTTCACTTTGTGTAATTCTCATATATTTGTTTATTTGTGAATTTTACATTTGGTTACACTTTATTTTAAGGTGTCCTTGTTACAGTGTAATTATACATTTAAGTACTGAGTAATATTAATTAACTACATGTACTTACTATATGGTTAGGGTTAGGATTAGGGTTACTTGAATGTAATTCTGCATAATTTCTTGTTATTTTAACAGTAAGTACATGCAACGTGTAACAAGGACACCTTAAAATAAAGTGTTACCTTACATTATTATTTGATTGGATCAGTTCTCCTTAAAAGTCTTATTTTTTTTTCATTCTGTTGACATCAACTAATCACAGATCTGACCACTAGGTAATGCACTTATTCCCTAAAATGAATACACCATACTCACGGTTTTCAGCAGTCTCTGTTTCTCTTTCTGAGTGTTCACACCTCACATTGCCAGGTCTCTCTTCTTTAATAAGAAGAACATCTGGTTCGTTATCCCCTACAGACTGATGAAAAGCACAATGTTGTCATGACTCCTGAGAGATATGTTTATGGAAAAAAATCTGTTTCTGAACAGTAGCAAATAGTGGTCATCTGACATGGATTTTTCAATGGCCTATGCCAGTATATCCAGATATGTAGAGATGGCATATACACCAATATTCAAAATAAATCAAATAAATTAATACCTTCAAATAAATCAATACTTTTATTGAGCAAACATGCATTATACAGATAAAAAAAATGACATTTACAGTATTACAAAAGATTTCTATTTGAAATAAATGCTGTTCTTTTGAACTTCCTGTTCTTCAAAGAATTCTGAAAAAACAATTGTTTCCACAAAAATATTAAGCAGTACAACTGTTTTCTTTCTATCTATCTATCTATAAACAACTGAATAATAGTAAGCGACACAGTACCTGAAGTTGCTGAAAGGAAATGCACACTTGCATAATATTTATGCCAAATAGTTTATCATCTTACCCAGGTGAAAAAGAAATATATTTAAATTGTGCTTTTTCAGACATACTATATTTAAATTATACTATACTAAGTGCATATTAAATGTATTATTTTGAAACAACTTTAAGTATATTAAGTGTATTTCAAGATATGTTTAAGTTGGATTTTAATATATTTGTAATATATTTAATATATTGAAATTGTGTTAAATTGGAACCACTTTAAGTATATTTAGCGCAATTTAAGTTGTTTTATGTAATGAACAACAGCCTAATCAACCACAGTAGCATAACCTTTTAAGTAAAACTGAACAACATATTAAACAACATATTTTAAATATCGCAATGCTTAATAATAGTTGACAAACGTTTGTACATTGTAAATGTTAAAAATGTTTTTCAAAATATTGTACTTTTCCAAATATTAAAATTATAAATACATAAATATTTTAAATATAACCATGTGTAGGCCTACTGCAATATAAAGTACATTAAAAACCCACTAAAAGTGTAATCATTTTGTTATGTTCTTACACAAAGTAGACATAAAATATACTTTAAGTAAGGGTAACATAAGTATGTTTTCTGTAAATACACTAAAAAGTCACTAAAAGTATGCTTGTGTTTAGTATATCCCTTAAAAGTGTAACTAAAAATATATTTATTACCATAGTATTTCTACTATACTTTTTAGAAATATACTAATAGTGTGCTTGTGTTTAGCATATTCCTTAAAAAGTGTAACTAAGCATATATTTATTACCAAAGTATTTCTAGTATACTTTTTATAAATACATTAAAAGTATGCTTCTGTTTAGCATATTTCTTAGAAGTATAACTAAGCATATATTTAATACAAAAGTATTTCTAGTATGCTTTTTAGAAATATATTAAAATGCAATTCAATATATTTTTATTGCACTTCAACTAAGCATGTTGGGAATACAAATGTATTATAAACATACTACTTGAATTTCAAGTATATTTTTAATACATTTAATACTACGTCTTTTTCACCTGGGTAAGGGGATCAAGTTCAACGTTTTTTGTTCTTCAAGTATCATTGGAATGCTAATAATACAAAAGACGAACTCTGTGATAAATGGGGAAGTATAAGCACTGTAGGAAGACCGTTTTGAGTGCTGCAAGATATTGAACAAAGAAAAAGGTGGAACTATCAAACTGAACCGATAACAGAGGTTTGCCGTTTGAAGTGTATAAAACACCAGGACAAGACAAAAAAAAAAGAAAAGAAAAAAAAAGATGAAGGTAATAAGATACACCCAATTCACTATATGCAAACCTGGTCTAGTCTTTCGTGTTGAAGATGCGAGACTTTACCGGAGCGAGCTTCATCTTCATTCCTACCCTCATTACACAGCGAAGCAATTTTCACACTAATTCGCCCTGGAAACAAGCATATACGTTCTCCATTAGTAATTAATAAGTTATAATAGTGACTTTTAATATAATGGAATCAGTCCGACATCACCAACAAATATTGTTTAAATGACCATGATCACCTCTTTACCTGATGCTTTTGCGTGAACTTCTGTTTTTGTCAAGGCAGTTGATTCGTTTCTTAGTTTGTGCGCTCTTCTATGAAACGAATCTCGGATTTCTAGCACTTTCAATTTCTTTTTAAGGAGGTTATTCTCCTTTTGTGTTTGAGATATTTCAAGCTGTAATTCGCTATAGCTTTCCTCAACAAGTTTGCAGATTTCTGCCACAGCGGCGTTTGCGAGTATTTCCATAACTGAAGCGATTTGCGTCCGAAACGTTATAATATTTGCCATTGCGTTGGAATCTATTTAGATTAAGCTCCTTTAATAACAGTGAATCAGTCCATACAATAAACCCTTCCAAACGAGTCTAGCTCTCTTCAAACGCGAAGCTGGCCAATGAGTCGACAACATCCGCTTGTGCTTTTTAAAATAAAAGCTCTCATGCTACCAAGCTAATTTCACGCCCATAAACATTAGTTATGTTTACTTTAGCACAGTGTCACAACTGAGTGAACATAGCGGTTCGTTTGGAATATTTCGGATGTTAAATACTGGTACGGACTGAAAAGTTAATGAGGAATGGACACAGTGACTAACTAACTAACTAAATTAATAAAGACACTACAGGCAAAACATTATTTATGCACTGGCCAATTTTGGGAGGTAAGTCTTTATTTCATTGCAATTTATCTGTTTATATAGCCTAAGTAGATTTCAATTATAATATTTACTTTGAAAGGCTTTTTCTCTCTCTCTAAATGATTTATGTTTTAAAAGGATTTATTTATTTCTAATGATTTATTTCTGAAAAGGTAAAAGTATATATATATTTTTTTTCTGGCTGTTGACAGTATTTTCTGATTTATGAATACATAATTATTAATATCGGTAATAAATAATTATGATTAATTAATAAATAATTATGAATAATTAATTCAAGTATGTAAACAAAATGAAACAAACATTTTGAACTGGCTTTATGAATGATCAGTTTTATGTTCTGGAAATGTATGCTAATTTTCATATTTATTTACATTTAAGATTTAATACAACTTATAATATGCATTTATGGTTGCGGGACTTTTTTCTATCTTTCCTGTATCATTACCTTTTTTCTATCTTTCCTGTATCATTACCACTATGTAGGCTATTTATTATTGCAAAACAACCTTTTTTATTTTTTTATTTTATTTTACTTTATTTTAATCTAACCAAAGAAGCCTACTGACTGCAATGTTGTTGCACATCTGACATTAAACCTTGACTTGATCTGAGCTATGAAGTTAAGCATAACCTCAACAAATGAACAGTGGCTCAGAAGATATCCATTAGTTGTGGAACTTTCATTTGTTAAATACATCTTGAATAAATTGTAAATATATGCATTTATTTCCACCTAATTAAAAAATAAAAAATCGAAAAAATATTCACAGAATTTTGGGTAACATTGTTTACCATATAAACAGCTTTGATGTTCAAGACTAAGGCCAATAATGAGTAAACTTTATATTTACATTACAAAGAGAAACACAAACTTCTGTATTGTTCTGTATTCTTTATTAATCTAGTATTTTTATTACAGTTTTTTGCAGTTAAACATGTTCATGCCAAATACTTGCATACATTTGCTTTACATTTCCTTTACATCAGGAGCTTGCTTTACCTTTGCTTTACATTATAAAGTGCATGGAGTATGAATAAATAATAGCTGTTATTCCAAAGTTCCACCTTAGTCCCTTTAAATGAAACTGCGTTATGTCAAGCAGACTAATGGTTTTCAAAAGCGAATTAATTGTAAACGATGAACAGAATATTACAATAAATACAAATAAATAAGAACAATACAATTTCATTATACACTATAGGAAGAATTGAAACATCACATTTAGGAACATTTTATAGAGACCTTGTTTGTCTAGCAATACAGGCATAATAAAATAAATAATTTATAATATAAGCATTAACATAGTACTTTCATTACTATAAAAGAGGCAGCATTGAATTGCATTTTGAACATCCAAAAACCATGATTTTTATGTTATCATTGGTGGTCAGTCCTGTTTTTGTCAAATATCTCTGAACTCTCTAGAAGAGGCTGTTTCGAGTTGTGTACTGTACATTGTATGACCGTCTTCTGTGCCAACGTCTTCTGATTGCTGCACAGCAACCACACAGCAAACACTAAACACATCAACAGACAAAGTGAGAGTTAGCATCATGGAAGGGAATTTTATACAGCTGTACATACACAATTATATACCACATTTAAAAGGAAGATCTACGTCTGTTTTTACCGTAAGAATAACACATGTCTGTTGTCATTAATCGCTTCACTACTAATGCACATATTTGACATTCAGTCATCCTAATACTTACGCAAAGGAGAATCCAGCAAGGTACGAGCCCGATGACAATAGCGCAGGGGACAATGATAGCCACAATCCATGCTACGTTTGTACCGTTGTTTGAGATTGTAGTGTTCATGGTGGTTGGAACTGGTGTGGTAAAAGCCGTGAAAAGGGCACTGACCAAGAAACCGGAGGCCGTGTTGCTGTCATATTGTGAGAAAACATACGTAACATTGGCCTCAATCACGTTGAGATCATCCCTGTGGAGAGATTAAAACGTACAATGAGAAACAAAAGTAAATATCTAAAAATGATCTTACCATTCATTCACCTATGTATCATAAAAGCAGTTTTCTTCAATTCATTTAGACATTTGATCTCAAGACAAAGTAAAAAGCAGTGGATCAGAACTCACTTGAATTTGGCTGGAATGATTAGCAGATTAACTGAGGGGTCCTTTAGGATCTGGATCACCTGTAAAGTGCATCAATTAAAAAAACAATAGGTTAATGATTAAAATAGGGCAATTTCAGGACAACAATATCCAAGCCTCTCCAACTCACCAAGTCATTTATCTTCTTTTGGATTATTTGATAGGTTTCATTCCTTCTTAACTCTGTCAGTGATACTTTGCTGATTTCAAATGCAAAGATGAGTGCGTAGGCAGTGTCATTAATTCCTTTAAAATAAATGACAAAAATAATTAGTTGTGTGACTATATATGGGTCATGGTATTCCATTATCCATTTTCATTATGCATAATTATTGACTGCTTTTTAATTATTATTTTCCTTCAAAGGAAGTCATAAATAAGGACTACATGATTACAACAGATACACCATTTGCATACAAATGTTATATTCACAACAAAAATGGAGCATGAAAATAGAGCAAAACTCACCCAAATAGACGACATTCGCCAAGGTCACAGGTTCACTCACGCTTACTGTTCTGGCAGTTAGTTTAGTTGTAACATTTGCGACCAGTATAGATTTAACCACCTCCAGAACACTATTCTCACTTGGTCTTGGGCCCAGTGTGATAAACTCGAGACGAATCCTAATAATTGCCCTCCTACTCCTGCATTAAAAAAAGATGATAAATTATTGGAATGTAAACACAGAAAATTAAAACAACTAGCTTTAAAAAAAAAAAAAAAAAAAAAAAAAATTGCTAATTGGTCTTACAAGATCGGTGGTGAAGTTGTTGTCAGAGTGTCCGCTGTAAAAGAAATGAATAATTAATGGAGAATCAGACTTTCAATTATAGCATTTGGTGTTTTTGAAGCAAGACATATAAAACACGACAACTTAAAAAATGGAAGTTTAACATTTGATTGTCAGTTTGGACATATAAACTGTGGGGTAACAGATGGTTGACAGTGCAGCAGGTGTAGACATGGTAATACCTTCGGCGAGTTGGAGAAGTTCCTGAACAAAGATGCTGGGTTGCTTGATGTCACTTGGTGAGAAAACATACTCTACTTTGGCCTGAATCACAGTGGAATTACCCCTGTGGGGAGATTGAAATGTACAATGAGAAACTAAAGTCTATAACTAAAAATTATTTTTAGTCACAAGCCATGTACTCATGTACAAAAACTTCCCAACTAACACCAATGAAGAGTCATCAGGTAGTCATCACATATTTGCTCAAATCAAAGTAAAAAGTGAGTCAGAACTTACGTGAAATCTGCTGCTTGGAACTTAATGACAGGAGCTGAGGAGTTACTGAGGAGGATCTTGCCCAGCTGAAAAAGTGAGATGAATTGGTTTATAAATATGTTGAGGTTAATGTGGTAAATGAAAGAGAGAGAGAGAGAGGGAGAGAGAAGAAGTAAAAAAGTGTTTGTAAAAGACTACTTTACTGAAATGTCTCCAACTCACCAATGTGTTTATAGAGTCTTGTATTAACAGGTGGGTACCATTCCTGAGTTCAAGTTTCTCAGTCATGGCTATATTGCTGATTTCAAATCCAAAGTTGAGAGCATAGGCTGTCTCGTTTATTTCTTAAAAATATATAATACAATTAATTAGTTGTGTGGTTATATGTGGGTGATGAAATTTCCCTAATGCATTCCTTAATAGTATTTATTTGTTAATTTAACTTATTGGCTATAAAAGCTACAGATCTACAACATTAGAATTTAAATAACATATTCAGAACAAAAACGAAGCCAAACCAGGAGAGAAAAACTCACTCGTATATGTGACATTGACAAAGCTCACAGGATCACTCAGGTCTTGTGTTGTGGTGTCTTGTTTAGTTGTGAGACGTGTTTTCATCAGAGTGTTGGCCACCTCAAGAACTTTATCTGGATTTGGCAGGGGGCCCAGTGTGACAAACACGAGGCGAATGAATATAAGTGCTCTGCCAAGCCTACAAAGACAATAAATAATGTACATTAAGGTAGGAAATTAAAATTAAAATTAAAGAAAAAAAGTAAATATCAGACTGAAGTCACTGCTCTTACACTATCTGTGGAGTAGTTGTCAGAGTACTGGCTGTTGTTACGACTGTAAAAGAAAGTAATGATTAATGGAGGAAGCTTGCAGTTACAACATTTGCAATCCATTGTCGGTTTTGACAAACCTGTCGGTGAACGAAGCTCATTTAGGAAGCTGACTGGTTGTATGGCATCTCCATCCTGGAAGATGTAGTCCATCTTGCCATCAATCTGGTTTGATGTGCTTCTGCAGGAAAAACAGAATATATCTGTTAAGGATCTATATGTGCAAAGATATATATATATTTTTTAATGTTTTGAGTAAATGCACTTAATAACGTAAAATGTGAGTGCATATCATATACATTAAGTCTGTTTGCATCTTACATGAAGTTGGTCGACTTGGGATTTAAAGTTGTTCTGCCAGGTTCATTCAGAAGACTGTTCAGCTGCAGAAGAAAAATCAAACATTCATGAAACTATGGAGAACAATTATATTGGACCTAAAAATTGTACCCAGTTAATGCTTTATGCTTACCGCATTATTGACGACACCCTGAGCTTGTAGGTATGTGCCATTTCTTAGCTCAGGATCTTTTGACATGCTAATATTACTCAAATTAAACTTAAAGATGACAGCATAGGAGGTTGCCGTGATTTCTGTTTGGATATAAAAAGTTTTTTGGGTTTTTTTGGTCAAAATTTGACAGTTTAATATTTCAAAAGCTTTTCAGGTGAAGACGATGATACTTACTCTCATAGGTGACATTCACCACCTGCACTGATTCATTCAGCTGTGACTCTCTGGAATTACGGAGAGTGTTGATAGCGCTGAGGACCAGAGCTTCACTGGGGACTGGAGATGAGGAGTTGAACACCAGCTTGCTTATGACCACTGCTGAACCAGGTCTGTAAATAAAACCCCTTTGGTTTAATTTACATCAAATGTTTGCAGTAAAATTACTTCTCTATTTTTGATTGTTCTCAAAATTGAAAATCAATACATACATGAGGTTTGAAGGAAGACGTAGCTCATTTAGGAAGCTGACTGGTTGTATGGCATCTCCATCCTGGAAGATGTATTCCATCCTGCCATCAATCTGGTTTGAAGTGCTCCTACACAACAAACAGAAGATATCTGTAAGGGACTTTAATCCACATCGATTTTTTTTTTCTGTAATTATTATTTTCCATGGCTTCCAAGCTAAAATGTGAGGACACATGAAATAAAGATTGTGAAGTGAGTTTGCATCTTACGTGAAGTTGGAGGATTTTGGTTTGAAAACTTGCTGGCCAGGTTCATTCAGAAGAGTGTTCAGCTGCAGGAAAAAAAAATCAAGACATTTATCAACCTCTGGTGAAGATTTACACTGGTCCCAAACTTCGCTAATGTGTTAATGCTGGTTTCGTACCGCATTATTGACAACATCTTGCACTTGCACATAACTGCTGTTTCTTAGCTCAGGATCCTCAGGCATGCTGATATTATTCAAAATAATATTAAAGATGACAGCATAGGAAGTTTCAGAGATTTCTGTGTGGAAAGAAACACCCAGTTTTAATCAGTTAAATTTTGACATTTTCCACTGGTTGAAAATTTCATAATTTAAATTACTTTTAATTCATAATTAAGAAACTTACTCTGATAGGTAAAACTGACAATCTTCAGTGATTCATTGAGTTGGGACTCTCTAGATTTAAGAAGAGTACTAATAGCATCTAGGACCAAAGTTTCAGTGGGCAGGGATGACAAGGATGAGAATATCAATTTGGTTGTGACTGTTGCTGCACCGGACACATTTGTTGACAATGTTTTGGGTATGTTTGAAGTTTCTGGTTGCAAACTTGAAGTACTTTGAAGTGTTGCGTCTGCTTTTGTTGTATTGTTCAGAGGTGTAGTATTGCTAATAAGAGTTTCAGCTGGTGTTGTTTTTATGGATGTGTGACCTGGAATTGTAGATGCTGGTGATGTTGACGTAATTGTGTTTGGACCTGATGTTATTGGAACTACTGGAAATTCTGTTGTATTAGTGAAACATATAATAATTCCAGTGGTAGTTGTTGATGCAGTTGTAGTTTCTGAATCCATATTTGGGCTTGAAGTTGTTTTGGTTGAAAGTGCAAGTGTGGCTGGAGCAGAAGATGTACTGGTAAAAGCGACAGTTGTTTTTAAAAGATCTCCTGATGTTACTTGAAATGCAGTTGTTGTTTGAGCTGCAGTTGAGCTTGGAATGGTGGCTGTTGTTGTGCTTGGAGCTGTAGCTGAGATATCAGCTGGAATTGTAGTGGTGGGAAGAACAGTCATGGTTGTAATGGGTGCGGTTGGGGTTCTTGAAGGTTCAGTTGTTTTTGTTGGAGTTAAAGTTGGGAATATAATTACATGTGATGAGGAGATAGGCATAATTGTTACAGCAATAGTTATGGTCTCTGGAGACACAGTTGTGATTATTGGAGGTGCATTTGTTGTGGTAAGGAGTGTTTCTTGGCTTAGAGCTGGAGCTGTATTAGTGAAAGCAATAGTTTTGACTGTTGTTGATGAAATTGCAGATGTTGTTGTGGCTGTAATTGTGGATATATGTGGACCTTGTGTTGTTGTACTTGCAGTTTCAGATGAGACTGAAGATGACAAAGCAGTGGGGGGTACAGTCATAAAAGAGGAAACTGTAATGGTGGATGTTGCAGGTGCAGGAGTACTTTCTGAAGTTGTAGACATTGTTGGTGAAGTAAGAGTTGAGGTTTCAGTAGTTGTGGCTGCAAATGTCACTGTGGTTTCAGCTGTTTTTGTACTTGGAGCTTCAGATGAGGTTGCAGCTGATGTAATGGTTGAAGGTACCATTGTGGTAGCTGAGGTTGATGTTGTATGTGCAGTTGTACTTTCTGAAGTTGTAGACCTTATTGGAGCAGGATTGACAACTGTTGATGTGGTTTGAAGTGGAGATTCAGATGAGGTTGGAGATGAAGAAGTAGTAGAAGGAACTATCGCAGCTGAGGAAGCCGTTGATGTTGAGGATGCAGTTGTAGTTTCGGAAGTTGTAGTCACAGTAGTGGAAGGCCCCACTGTGGTTGTGGAAGCTGCAGTTGTGCTTGCTGCAGGTGTAGTTGTACTTTCTGATGGTGTAGGCATTGTTGTAGAGGTAAGCGTTGTTGCTTCTGAAGTCACAACAGCAGATGTGAGAGCTAAAGTAGATGTGGTTGCAATAAGCAATGTGGTTTGAGATGTTGTTGTACTTGGAGCTTCAGATGACATAGGAGCTGATGTCACTGTGGAAGGTACAGCTCCAGTTGAGGAAGCTGTAGTTGTTGATGTTGTTACAGGTGCAGCTGTTTCTGAAGATGTAGTCAGTGCTGTTGAAGTAAGAGTTGTGGATTCAGAAGTTACAGCTGTTGATGTTGTTGGGTTATTTGTTGTTGTAGATGTGGTTGAAGAAGCTGCAGTCGTGGTTTCTGCTGTTGTAGGCACCACTGTTGAAGTAATAGTTGTGGTTTCTGTACTCACAACTGTGGTGGTGGGAATTTCAGTAGTTGAGGATGCTATAGTTGCTGATTTTGTTGCAGGCGCAGTTGTTTTTAAAGATGTAGGAATTGTTGTTGAAGTAAGAGTTATGGATTCTAAAATTACACCTATTGATGTTGTTGGAAGGTTTGTTGTAAATGGGGTTGATGAGGCTGTAGTTGTGGATTCTGCTGTTGTACTTTCTGAGGTTGTAGGCACCACTGTTGAAGTAATTGGTGTGGTTTCTGTACTCACAATTGTGGTTGTGGGAATTTCAGTTGTCGATGAGGCTGTAGTTGTTGATGTTGTTACAGGTGCAGCTGTTTCTGAAGATGTAGGCATTGTTGTTGAAGTAGGAGTTGTGGATTCAGAAGTTACAGCTGGTGATGTTGTTGGATCGTTTGTTGTTGTAGATGTGATTGATGAAGCTGTAGTCATGGTTTCTACTGTTGTACTTTCTGAGGTTGTAGGCACCACTGTTGAAGTAATTTGTGTGGTTTCTGTACTCACAATTGTGGTTGTGGGAATTTCAGTAGTTGACGATGTTGTAGTTATTGATGTTACCAGTGCAGCTGTTTCTGAAGATGTAGGCATAGTTGTTGAAGTAAGAGTTGTGGATTCTGGACTCACAACTGTGGTGGTGGGAATTTCAGTAGTTGAGGGTACTGTAGATACTGATGTTGTTCCAGGTGCAGTTGTTTCTGAAGATGTAGGCATCACTGTTGAAGTAATAGTTGTGGGAATTTTAATAGTAGTTGAGTATGCTGTTACTGATGTTGTTACAGGTGCAGTTGTTTCTGAAGATGTAGGCATCGTTGTTGTAGTAAGAGTTGTGGATTCAGAAGTTACAGCTGTTGATGTTGTTGGATCAATTGTTGTTGTAGATGCGGTTGGTGAAGCTATAGTTGTGGTTTCTGCTGTTGTACTTTCTGAAGTTATAGGCACCACTGTTGAAGTAAGAGTTGTGGATTCTGGACTCACAACTGTGGTGGTGGGAATTTCAGTAGTTGAGGGTACTGTAGATACTGATGTTGTTCCAGGTGCAGTTGTTTCTGAAGATGTAGGCATCACTGTTGAAGTAATAGTTGTGGGAATTTTAATAGTTGAGAATGCTGTAGTTACTGATGTTGTTACAGGTGCAGTTGTTTCTGAAGATGTAGGCATTGATGTTGAAGTAAGAATTGTGGATTCCGAAGTTACAGCTGTTGATGTTGTTGGATCGCAGTTGTTTCTGAAGATGTAGGCATAGTTGTTGAAGTAAGAGTTGTGGATTCTGTACTCACAACTGTGGTCGTGGGAATTTCAGTAGTTGATGATGTTGTAGATGCTGATGTTGTTACAGGTGCAGATGTTTCTGAAGATGTAGGCAAAGTTTTTGAAGTAAGAGTTGTGGATTCTGAAGTTACAGCTGTTGATGTTGTTGCATCGGTTGTTGTTGTAGATGTGATTGATGAAGCTGTAGTCGCAGTTTCTACTGTTGTACTTTCTGAAGTTGTAGGCACCACTGTGGAAGTAACTGGTCTGGTTTCTGTACTCACACTTGTGGTTGTGGGAATTTCAGTAGTTGACGATGCTGTAGTTACTGATGTTACAAGTGCAGCTATTTCTGAAGATGTAGGCATAGTTGATAAAGTAAGAGTTGTGGATTCTGAAGTTACAGCTGTTGAAGATGTTGGATCGTTTATTGTGGTAGGTGTGGTTGATGAAGCTGTAGTTGTGGTTTCTGCTGTTGTACTTTCTGAAGTTGTAGGCACCACTGTTGAAGTAAGAGTTGTGGATTTTGTACTCACAACCGTGGTGGTGGGAATTTCAGTAGTTGAGGATGCTGTAGTTATTGATGTTGTTATAGGTGCAGTTGTTTCTGAAGATGTAGACATAGTTGTTGAAGTAATAGGTGTGGTCTCTGTACTCACAACTGTGGTTGTGGGAACTTCACTAGTTGACAGTGCTGTAGTTGCTGATGTTGTTACAGGTGCAGTTGTTTCTGAAGATGTAGGCATAGTTGTTGAAGTAAGAGTTGTGGATTCTGAAGTTACAGCTGTTGATGTTGTTGCATCGTTTGTCCTTGTAGGTGTGGTTGATGAAGCTGTAGTTGTGGTTTCTGCTGTTGTACTTTCTGAAGTTGTAGGCACCACTGTTGAAGAAAGAGTTGTGGATTCTGTACTCACAACCATGGTGGTGGGAATTTCAGTAGTTGAGGATGCTGTTGTTATTGATGTTGTTACAGGTGCAGTTGTTTCTGAAGATGTAGCTGGACTCACAACTGTGGTTGTGGGAATTCCAGTAGTTGAGGGTACTGTAGATACTGATGTTGTTACAGGTGCAGTTGTTTCTGAAGATGTAGACATAGTTGTTGAAGTAAGAGTTGTGGATTCTGAAGTTACAGCTGTTGATGGTGTTGGATCGTTTGTTGTAGATGTGCTTGATGAAGCTGTAGTCGTGGTTTCTGCTGTTGTACTTTCTGAAGTTGTAGGCACCACTGTTGAAGTAAGAGTTGTGGATTCTGTACTCACAACCATGGTGGTGGGAATTTCAGTAGTTGAGGATGCTGTCAGGTGCAGTTGTTTCTGAAGATGTAGGCATTGTTGTTGAAGTAAGAGTTGTGGATTCTGAACTTTCAGCTCTTTCAGCTGTTGCATCGGTTGTTGTTGTAGGTGTGGTTGATGAAGCTGCAGTTGTGGTTTCTGCTGTTGCTGCTGTTGTAGTTGTAGGCAGTGTTGTTGAAGTAATGGTTGTGGTTTCTGTACTCACAACTGTGGTTGTGGGAATTTCAGTAGTTGAGGATGCTGTAGTTACTGAAGTTGTTAAAGGTGCAGTTGTTTCTGTAGATGTAGGCATTGTTGTTGAAGTGAGAGTTGTGGATTCTGAAGTTACAGCTGTTGATG